TTGGAGACCCCTAATCTAAATTAATATATCCTTACCAATAGTTACCAACAGTAGGCATGAAGAAAATGTATTTGGAACTGGCTTCATGGTAAGGAAGAATATAAAGCATGGTATATGAGGAAACCTATTAATATGACAATGAATAACATATCCCTGGTTTTCACAGAAGAAAAGACAGATAAGGAAAATGAAGGTTTTTACAAACGACTATGAATAACTTTTTTTTTATAACCCCTGTTTGATGGTTGGTTCTTAGAAGAAAAGTGCATTTTGGTTTATTATTTTCAATAATGAACCATTGTGATCGAACGAAAAAAATTCAAAAACCACCCCCTCTCAAAATTTGAGGTTTTACGTTATCGGATAAGCGGAATTCGAAAAAGTCCGTCCGCCATCCGCCGTCAGCGCATTTTCTCCGTAACTAGTGGATCGATGTTATTCAAATTTGGATTTAAAATTAGAGCTTTCCCGAGGATGATCCTCCTTTATCGATATTTTTATCTGCCTTTTGCTTTCAAGATGGTGACCGGAACGCCTGCGTTTCTGTAGAATTTAGCTCCTAACCGAATGTACTGATTTCAATGAAACTTCGTTAAAGTCTTCTTCTCAATTCGCTTGAAATTAATCTATATAACATATTTCAACGAAATGAAGCTGGAAAAAAAGTTACGAGAAATGGTAAAATTAAATTCCGAATAACCCAAAAGTATACACTTTTTTGTTGATGGTTATTTAAAAGACTACGGAATTTCCGAAAAAACAATCGTTAAATTTTACGATTAGGAGCAAAGATATGGTCTCTAGTTTTTTTTATATGATTTTGATTTTTGAATGTGTTACTGAAGTGATGCTAATTTTTTTAGTATATTACTAATGATTAAAAAAAATGTTCTTTTTCTTTGTCACTACGAATGTAATGTTACTTTTATGATGCATAATTGTTTGAAATAATAAACCATTGTGAAATACTTTGCATCGTTTTTTCTCTAAAATATACCGATTTACGTATCATAAAAAATATTAATTACGCTGTGACTGAAACAACTTTCACTTATCAACCTGATTAAAATAATATATTTTCAAATAGAGTTAGTTAATACTTCATTATTTAAACTAGAATACAAAGTTATTAATCTAAATTAAAGTTGCTAAACCTTATTAACGTATGTTTTACCACCCCGTAAAAACAACTTCATATATTTTTAGTGACAATCATTATGATAATTTATTAACGACAATTCGGTGCATTAGATAGTTTCGATTTTTCAAACTTTAAATTAAGTTTATTCTAAAAGTTTACATTTAGTTCGGAAGTTCCATTTAGTTTCCATGGAAATATTTAATATCCATTAAAAAATATTAATTTTCAGAAATTAATGATTATTAATCTTTCATTCCTATTTACTACATGCTTATATTTTACATGCTATTTTGCCTAAATAGCTCAGTTTTTCAATGATTTATTGTAAAATTTATTCATACTAATCTTGTTTCCAAAAATTTATTTTCCACCTAGAAAAATATGTTTCTTTTTTTCTGGTTATTTAATTATCGAATTACTTCATAATTTATATATACCTTTTTTTTTTTTTGTTGTAAATACTAAGAATTTTGTAAAAATGTAGAAATTTGCTAAAATTAAAAAATAAATTATTTTATTTAAAACACTGATATCTGGGTCATGCTAAAAAGAATTTTCAATTCACATCTCATGATTTGAAGGGGAAGAGCTTAAGTTGGGTGGGACATGAAGACAAAACAATCCATCAAAAAGCCAATATGTAAAAATGGTTAACAATGGTTAGCAAAAGCAACCTCTTAGGCCAAAAAGCAAATGGATAGATAGAATCTTATATAAAATATTACTAGCAGAGCTGTGTGCAGCAAACTAGAAAGCAGTATTCCAAGATAGGCAAAGGAGAAAGCTGGTTCAAGCGACTATAGCTCTACTATCTCCATCCAGCTACTAAATGCTCTGTACAGCAAATATATGTACCCCAAAAATGATTTGATTTTCAAACTTCAATTCATTTTGAGGTCTGAAATTAATAATGTACTTTCCACCAATGGCGTATAGGGTGAGGGAGGTTAGGGCACGTGCCAGGGGCGTCATTCAAAGGGGTCGCCGAATCCGTAAAGTATTGTACTTAAAAATGCCACTAAACTAATATTCAATCTACATTCAAATAATCTCGCGATTCCTGTACTTGGTGAGCTTTAACAATAGTGCCAAAAACCTAAATTTCGAGAAAAAAATCGTCCCTCTCAGAAAAACGACGGCTTCAAAGCTCGAATAGTGATCATTATTCTTGTATTTTCTTATCCTAAATCGATAGCTTTGAGCGTATTACTTCTTATGGCTGTAATATGTTTTAAATTTTAAAAAGTTCGGCATTAAAATATATTTAATAATTCTAGATAAAATTATTGTGCAAAAATTTTGATGATTAGAAAGCTTTAAATAAAAACTAAATTAATGAATGTTTAAATATATAGATTTATAATAATTACAAGAAGTGGAAGTTAAGGTTCAAGCATAAATTATTTTTTAAATTAACATTCTCTGTTGAACAAATGCCCTTATTTTAAAATTGCTAATATTGCAGTGTTTTATGATGTTTTTACCATATTATCAATTATGATAAAATGTTTTTTAATTTGATACACACTAGACAACTGAGACAAAATTGTAGAGTAATTTCAAATGTTTTAATCTTTGCTCAAATTGTCAAACAAATAGCTTCTAGATGGATCAAAAGATGAAATATTTCTATTTGGTACAGAATGAAAGATCCTTTTTCTCTCATAAATCTCATTAGACAACATTTTAAATTCATCAAAACCTAACTTAATAGCTTGTGAAGAATTTCGAAGAATTTATAATATTCCATTGGAGTACGGACAATAATGACTGCTGTTGACTGTAATAAATCTTCTTTTGTTCATATAAATGTGATTAAAGTATTAACTGTCAAGAGAAAAGTAAATAAATAATGTTATTTCACGTGAAAAGATCATTGATTAATTAATTTATATACAGAAAAATCACTCGCACTTCATATATAGTAATACATTATAAAAAGAATATGAGTAAGTAATTTTTTTCTCAAAAGTTAAGTTTTGATACCGATTATCCAATGGAATAAGTCCAAGCGTGTAAGTGTAGTTCGTTGTTTATTATGGGATTATACTTCATAATGCTTCGATTTTTCGTCGTTATAACAATGAAAACCTTTATATATTCTCACCTGTCCATACATTAAATTACAAAATCAATAACTTTCCTCTCATTAAGACATACAAATATTTTTTTTTATATTTAATTTGTTTGGTAATTTGTGTTTTAAAGGGTCAAATCGAGAGAAAATGAAGGAAAGATCACGTAGTACAAAAAGTGTGATAGGAATACTTGCATTTTTTTTGTTTTTCCGGCACTGAACCATTTTACTGCGTTGTGCGAGTAATACCTTCTAGGAAATTATCTATTTTTAACTATCGGTTTTAGGGATTTCCCATCCATATAGGAAATGTATAGTAAGGGAAATTATTGCGATTGTGAAAATTTTTGAATCTGAGTTTTCAACGGAAATACATGCGTTGAGGTCTCCTGAGTCTAAATAACCAAATCCCGCAAAATGGTCTGTGTGTGTGTGTGTGTGTGTTGTGTATGTGACAAATCTATTTCAACGTCTGATAAATCTAAAACGAAAAGTCGTATGAAAGTGAAATTTGTGCATTTGAGGTATGTATATACCTCAGATGTTACAAGAACTTTTTCGTCAAAATCGGCTAACCGGAAGTGGTACTTTATATCATCGATGAAACACATTTTTACGATTTACTCAAAAACGGCCCCAGCGATTTTGATCTAACTATCAGTGTAAAATTAAGCAGTTTTTAATATTATGTAGGTTTTATTCTCATTGATATTCGCTAACAGGGCATAAATGGCTAATTTTCAATATTAGCTTCCTCTAAAGTACCTTTAATTTTTTTATTCGAAACAATTGACCATTTCACATTGATCTCTAATATAAAAAATAGTTAAAAATAAAATATGAAAGAATTTAATAATTAACTAACGGAGAAATAAGTGATCGTAACTGAGAATAGTTGGAATGAAGGAACCAAAGGGATACGAGAGCGAGCCCAAGCTTGCCCGAAGATTAGAATAGGCTTCAGAAGTAACATGAGCTTGATATAATATGGACTCCGACAATATTATGTACATATACATATGCAGTTTTACTAAATGTTTTTGTTGGTATTATTTAATATTTAATTGTATAGATTACAGCGATATAAATATTAGAATTTGTATATGTAAGGATACTTAAACAAATAAAAATATTCACAATGAAATATGCATCAATATAGCGTTTATAATTGTTACTTTCACTTCCTCTTTGTCTGAAAATATTTATTTCTGTTAAAAAAAGGGTCGTAAGTGAAAGTTGTGTGTTGCGAGCACCGCACCAGATTTTTTGTATTAAGAAAATTTACGAGAGATCGTAACTTTGATGCGTGCCCTAGACGCATTTTCGATTGCTGCACAGATTGCTAAGTAATTTCCATAATATCAATACATACATTTTTAAATCGTCCCTAACTTGTTAACTTAAAAAAAAAAATTAAAAAAATTGTTAAACAATGCTTTTTCTTTATTTTTCTTTAATTTACTAGATGGGGAAGATTTAAAAAATATATATATATATATATATATATATATATATATATATATATATTATATTATATTATATTATGAAAATTCTAACCTCAATCTTAAACCTTCTTTCCTTTACTTTTAGGAAATTTTATTAAAGAAACAATGTTCTAAATTTAGTCTATACAAGCCATCAATTCAAGTTAAAGAAAGCTGCTGTAAAATATTGAACCTGTTGATAATCGATATCTCAGAATCGATGCCAAACGTTCACGATCTTTTACCGATCCATCGATACATTTAACATTTGAAGCTACTCTATCCCCTCTACTGTTTTAGTAATGATTGCACCACGTCTGGGTAGACATGCGGTCGCTTCGGTGTTTCGTTTGGGAAGTTGCCAATTTCCCGTTAATCAGCAATCCTTGCGCTACATGTCCAAGCTCACGTCGAGAAGTGTCGTGACCTCGGGCCGAATGAAGATGCCGGTGTTCGGCCTGGGGACCTGGCAGGTAGGTTCTGACTGCTGGAGTCAAATTATTTTAAATCATCTTGAAAGTTCACCTCATTTTGAATTTTTTAAAAAATAATTAATAGAATCTGTGACTTTTAAAACAGAAAATACCTCATGAATAGATTGTATAGATACATTTATTACGCACAAAATCGATCGATTTGTATAATTTTTTAGTTTTTAAACGATTATCTAAATTATAGTGTTTATGTAATCAAGAAAATAGTCTCTGACCTTAATAAAACAATAATTTTATTTATGCTCATAAAATTTAATTTCTTTGAAGGAATTAATGAATATTTTTTATTAGTTTTCGAGAAATTCTTATACAAATAGGATTGGAAGCAATAAATTACAATCATAATAAATTAATAACATAATTAAAAGTAATGTAAAAAATATCAGTTTGTTGTTTTGATATGTAATACAATAATAGAATTATAACATATATGGTTTTGGGGGATATATACTATACAATATGCTATTATATACAATTTAGGAATTTTCCGAAAACAAAAACAAAAACAAAAGCAATATAATTTTGTAAAGAATAAAAGGAATTTTTATAACATAATACAATATAATTGTGGATTGATGGCTGACTATATTGAATAATTGAATAAAAGAATGGATGGGGTAATCAGTAAAAATAAAAAAGTATATTTATTTTTATTTTTGCCAAAGTTTAGGCCTTCATCAGAGCTTAAAAAAAAAACAGATAACAATAGGTATGAGAAACAATAAACATCTAATAATTAAGAATTAAAAATAAAAAGGTGCAAGGTTCAGACTAAAAACTTTAGGTAGATTGAACTTAAAGTAAAATAAAGTAGATAGAGTGAACATTAAAGTAAAATAAAATAGGTAGAATAATAACATAACAGAGGACTATGACATAAATAATAACGGCAACAAAGCAGGGGCTAATGAAATAAACACAATCAAAATAAGGTAACATAAGAAATTAAAAATGAATTAACAACATAAAGTAGTGGAATGTGTAAGATAATAAACCTAAATGTAGACAAAAATATAAATGGGGTGACATAGTTGCTAAAATGTGATGCTAAAAGGAAATGAGATAATCATAGAATAAAATGTAAAAACAGAGAACAGGAATATGAAGTTATATAAGGAAATAATAGATATAAATATAAAATTGAGATGTTGTAAAAGCTATCAAAACATACTGACTACGTATAAGATAATAAATAGTTAAAATAACGTCAACAAGATAAATGAGCAAATGTATCAATATATACAAAACATTTATAATACAATATAAATGTAAATATTTTCAAATAACACATATATATAGAAAATGTAATAAAAAACATATAATCACGGGCATAGTGTTTGGTATTTAACTACTATGATAATGAAAACCATTGGCAATGAAAGATTTCAATCTACAGAACAAGAACATAAGTAATTGGCTATTGACAATTATGACTCAACATCGTTACATATAATTGATGATCGTATTCACGAAATGGGACAAATAGTGAAAGTAGTATAGACAGGGCACCGGACAGAAATATGGAAAAAATATTTCATATCTTTAGTCCATTTAGATTACAAATAGTGAAATTTTCTCTCGGCTTATAGTAATATTTTTAAAGGTTTAGTTTAACATATTAATTGCCGAATTATCTTATTTACACTAATGTTTTGTTCTTAGAGAGAAAAGCATTGAGTACGAGATACGGATGACGCTTATCGCTTTTTCTGTAAGCAAGAGGGAACAATTAGCTGCTGTGGAGGTTATCAGTTTTTGTGTATCGCGCTCCGGTGTGCTGCTTTTTAGCAGGCTAAGCGTTTTAATCATCTTAATCTGGAATACACCAGGGTCTTCTAATTCCAGGATAGCTTACAATGCATAACAGAGCGAAGAACTGATTCAACAAATTAGATATATCGTCTGCTTTGCCCCCAATATACAAGTTGTCTCAGATCCCAATATCCAAACTCTGAGAGACTATTCTGTACGAAATTTCCAACAAAAATTTTATTTGATGTATGTACGATTTCGAACAGAAAAGGATTTAAGTCCAATTTTGCCTTTTCTTGAGGTAGTCACGTTTTCTCTTTCCTAGGAAGCGATAATACAACAAATATTTAATTCAGGTAATTAAAATATGCTTCATAGTTAAACAAAAAAATCAAATATAAGTTGAGTTTGTCTTTGGCCAAAACCATTTCAAGGTTACTTTTTAGCAGCCAAATTACGCTGTTGTGTTTTACATTAAATCCTGAATTCACGATATTTTTGTATCTTCCTACCTGTAAAAATAGTATCTCATTATCATTATCATTAGTAAATTAAAATTTCTAAATAAAAAATGAAACAATGGAATCTTAAGTATTAAGAATAAAAACATTTAGCTAGATATTTAATTCCATTAGGATCGATTTCCACAATAGATATCTGTGCTGTGAACAATGGTTCATTATCACCTTAGATAATCATTTTTTTTTAAGAATTTTTTTTTTTTACATATTTGTTTGTTGAGTAAAAAGTGTTTTTCTATAATTAATTTACTAAAATAGACGTCTGGTCTCAAGAAAAAGATGGATTTAAAACAGTGTAACAATATTTCTGTTGTTATTTTTTCTGAAAATACATATCATCTGGAGTGATAGAATATCAAATCACATTTTTTTTCACACAAATAGAAGTGAATTTCAACTCTATTCTAAAACAAACCTCAAATAAATTAATATAAAACCAAACAAGGAAGTTTTAGAAAAGTAGGTTATTATAATTACAATAATGCGGTATTATTATTTTGTAGTATAGTTGTAGGATGATAAAAAACATCGATAATAATTCAGGATTTAATGAAAAGTCAAAAGTATTTTTAAATGGTTTTGACAAAGACAAATTTTACTCGTGAGCAATTTTTAATTACCTGAATTAATTAATGGTTGAGTTATCGCTTCCTAAGAAAGAGAAAGCGTGACCAACTTCAGAAAAGACTAAATAGGATTTAACTCCTTTTACGTTCGAAATCGGCCATACATCAAATACATTTTTTGTTGGAAACTTTGTCTAGAATCGCCTCTCAGAGTTTGTATATTACCTTCATTTTGTTGTAACAGATTTTAGATATTTTTCTATTCATTTTTTTAAATTAAGAGAACCCAAGATCAAGCTAATTTTAATATTGCTACGGATCAAGGGGAAACTTTGAATCTAATCTCACTACTCAAAAAGGCGTAAATTTAATTTAGAGAAAATGAATTGTACATAATATTTCAAAGACAAAATCAATAACTTCTCTCTTATTGAGCCCTAAAATGTATTTATTCAAAATACCTATAAATACAGTTAATGTTTTGTAAAATTGTTGAAAATTGATCTATAATTTGCAATTTTAAAGGCTAGATCGGGGGAAAATTGGAAAAGGTAGATATTAGACTGCGTTTTAAAGATGTTAAGAATTTGTTATATTGTACGAAAAGTGTGATAGGAATAGTTTCATTTTAGTTTTATTTCTGCCTCTGAACCATTGTGCGACAGAAGGTCAAACCCCTTTGTGCCCCTTCATTCCACATCACTATAAATTGCATGTCGTTGCATGTTCCTTCTAACTATACATTTAAAAAAAAAAGTGATGTTCCCACAAAAAAAAGTTGCTGTGATCTCCCCAAGTGATGTCCAAACATGACGGAGTAACGATGAAAGATCGAACGCAATAAATGACTTAGATCATTCTAGCTTACCTATTTTATCATGTGGCTGCAGAAAGTATAGCAAACACCTCTGCTTGAAATACTATAGCATGTTTATCTAGTGATATGGTTATATTTAGGTTCTCTATATAGACTCCTGCACCCGTTAAACTAGTAGTCTTTCCTTGAACCATCAGTAAAACAGGGCAGGTAGAACTTTTTAGTCTCTACAGAGCCCTGTGCCCAATCTATTATGTTAGGGTACAGGTAGCTGACCTTACTGTCTAGAGTAAGATTTTTATCAAGCGGCGGAGAGAGGTACCGTAAGATAGGTAACTCGTTATCCACCTTCTTGGCTATTTCTAAGTGTCCGGTGCATGTCCCTGTTAATTTCCACTGTCTATTATCCTTCATTCTTAAAAATGCCAGAGCCGTCTCACCTATTATCCATAGGTGTAGCGGAGTCAATGACAATAAGATTTCTAGAACCTTTGTAGGTGAGGTGCGGAATGTCCCAGTAATGGTAATACAGGCCATCCTTTGAATGCGACATAGCATTCGCATATGAGTGGCCTTATTTAGGGCTACCCACCACACCACGCTTCCGTATTGTATTCTTGGTCTAATGATGGCCGTATATATCCAATGCATGACTTTAGGGTTATCCAAGTCCCAAGTTATACACCACATCTTACTTGCCAAAAGGCTATTATTGTTTTCCTTTTAACTTCTGTCAAATGTGGTCCCCAGTTTCAAAATGTTAAAATGAATACAAGTTTACTTCACTGAATCATATAAGACAGGTTATTGAAGATATCAAGACAACTGTATATGATCAAACGAAATAAGTAGCTTAAAATTTTCAAGTTCAAAAGTTTTCTAAAATTTGAAAATCTGTATGTCGTAAACTATTTGGTTTACTGAGCCTATTCTGGTGTTATGACGTAGCATATTTAATCTAGTTTAAAAGTGTACTATTAATTATTAATTAATATAGAAACATATAGATTGTATCAACTTAAGTAGTATGTAAAAAACAACATAATATTAGTGTAATAGGAAAAATAAAAGTTAAAAATTTATAACTTGAGAATTTCAAATATGTACATAGCTAGTAGACTATTGCAAACAGAGATAAGATAAGGGAGAGTTTATTATTATTGTTATGAATGCCGAAATAAAAAAAAGTACAAAAGAAAAGACAACCATAAATGTGTGCCACATAATTATTGAATTACCGATTACCGTTCAGTATATGTATAGATACTTTTCTTTAATTCAAGGAGGCGGAGAAGCTACAATCCTAATCCTTAAAATTTTATTGTCCGATGCAAACACCAGTAAATTGTATTTTTCACATTAGGGTATCAAAGTGTGCTACTTAAAAAGACTCGCTGAAACAGAAAGTGGAACGGTCAGTCCGTTATTCGCGGACATTGTAAAACGTAAGATGGTACATCTTGGTTAAACAGAAGCTGGTCTGACACGACAATTTAGTCTAGTCCGATTTATTACTAAATCCGATAACTAGAAATAGCTGACCGAGGAAGTTTGTGATATTGACGAAGGGATGTAAAAATGATCCTAAATGTCATTCCTAATTAATGAAGTATTTGAAGTCATCAAAGTTTGAACTGGTTTGCGGCAGAAAGATGAACATTAGCCGAAGTATCTCAAATTATTACTTCATTGAGAATGTGGCAAGAACATTATCTGAAAATGGAAGAGTGCTTCTTGGAATATTCATATAATTGTTATGCAGATAATATAACTCTACTTGGAAGCAATCATATCTAGAAAAAGAAACTCGTTAAAACTCTGGTAATAGAAGCACAGAAAATCGGGCTATAAGTAAATGAAGACTAAATGAATATGTTAAAATAGAGTAAACCGAAAATTTCACTCCAACAACAGGATCTTCACAGAGGGGAAATCGTTCCCGAGAATAGATATATTCAAACACGTCGACTCCACAATATAATGAATGACCAAAAGCCAGAAACGTGCGTAAACAGATCTTATATCGTTTTTCTAAAGTTATGGAAGTACCGAAAAAATCAATAAATATCAAGTTAAGCGGGTATAATGTTATGAAAAAATCAGTTCCAATATACCACTGAGAAAAGCACTAACCACTCAATGTGGAAAGGTCTGAATGAAATATCCTACACATGATAACCGGAGCGATTCAGGATGGGGAAACTAACGTTTAGAGAAGAAGGACCAATAATGTTGCTTACTGAAACTGTTCAAATAATGTATCATGATATGAAGGGAAGGAGATATTTATTCATGATGGGCGGGATATTTAGCTTGAAGCAATCTATCAGGAATGCCATTACATATGACCACCTAAGGGGCAAAAAACCAAAAGAAAAATAATGCACATTTAATCTCAAAGTACTTTAAGATTTTATTTGTTGGGGGGTGGCGTGGAGAGAGGAATTTTCTACTTAAATAATGATGTTGATGTTGGATGCACTTTCATTTTTTTTTTAATTTACTACAGACAAAATGAATTTTAGGAGTGGGGTGACCCTGTGAATTAATATGTGTTCAAAACATGCACTGACCAGAGCAACCTGTGATAAACCAAGTTTACCAGTTCAAATGAAGTAGGGCAATATATAAAAAAAAAGCTGGTGCCTGCAACACACAACTTTCACTTACCACTCGACTTTGGACAGAAATTAATTTCTGGAGGTGCTGGACTATTATAACATTTTTGAAGTGCATTTTAAATGAAGCTAAAGCTTAAAGTAAAGCTTACAGATAACAGATCATTAAGACCATTCTAATTACAAATAGTCTATTTATTATATCGATGGTAGGCAATAAAAATCTAGTCACTCCATCTACTTTTATAAACAACACAACTTCAGTCTCTGAACCTTTCAGTGGACAGAATGACAACTCCAATTTCAACATTTTTCAGTAATGTCATTTTAGTGATATTTCTATTCGAAAAAGTTATCTATACAGACAGTGAGTAAGTTGATTCCGGAGTAGGTGATTGCAGTGTTGAAATAAAGAAGTGTAAATGAAGTATGAATTTTGCAACTAGAAACATCACTAAAATTAATAATAAAGAATGTTAAAATTGAAGTTAGTCATTTTGTCAACCGAAAGGCTCATTTATGTCTACAGAGGTTTGGAAGTATATCTGAATAATTAACCTATAAATGATTATGCATTGTAGGACTATTAGTTATCAAGCTGTTATTTTCCATTGTAAAGTTTACTAAAACAAAATTATGAGATTTTCATTGTCTGCCATGGATAGGTAAAAAGTTGTCACACTAATTGTAAGTCGATAATGTTGGGATTTCACAAAGGAAAATTTCATCAAATTATTCACTAATTTAATTTTATAAAAGGTTACTTGCTTAGTGTTTTGAATAAACCGTAGATAGATACCTAATTATTTAAATGTAATATCTTATCTAGAGGTAATACTCTATAGTAAATATATTTGAGATTATAAACATATCCATGAAATATTTTTATATTACACTTCTTCTTTCACAAAAGTACAATGAAATAGTATTTTAAACAAAGCATTAGCTTGATTCAATAGATTTTAAATACTTTTTTTTCAATCTTAGAAAAACATTTAAATGTTTACATATAGTAAGAACATTTCATTTAATTTCCTTGGAAACATGTGATTTACGTTAAATAATTTTAGTTTCTGAAATTATTATTTATGATGTTTTCATCACTCTCGTTCACCTTCTACAACTTTCTATATTAGATATTGTTTTTTTCTGAAATTCTCAACTTTCCAACGATATATTATATGTATACCTTCTGACTAGTAATTCCGGAGATTCATTTTCGATCTGGATAAGCATTTTTTTGTTTCTCCTTTATTCAATTATCAAATTCTTTCAAAAGTTATATTTAGCATTTTTTTCATAACTTTTAATTATGAGAAATAGTTAATTATTTAAAATAATCCATATTAAAGGTACTTTAGAGGAAGACGTATATGAACATTGGGCATTTAAATCCTGTAAAGTGACATCAATGGGGATAAGACCTAATTGATATTAAATACCACTTAATTATACAATGATACATTGATTGAGTTTAATCAAAATTGTTAGAGCCCTTTTTTGAGAAAATTGTAAAAATGTGTTTCAGCGTTGATATAAAGTAGCATTTCCGGTTAGCTGATTTTAAGGAAAAAGATGCTGTCAGATCTAAGGCATATACCTATCTTAAATACGTAAAATCAGTTTCTTATGACTTTTGGTTTTTGAGCTAGACTGCTAACATACACACTCACAGACACACAGACCATTTTTCGGGACTTGGTTATTTGGACTCAGGAGACCTCAAAATGTGTATTTCCGTTGAAAATTCAGATAAGTAAATTTTACTGATCGCAATACTTACACTTAGTAAATATTATATATATATAGGTAAGTGAAAGTAAAAAAAGACAACTGAATTCTAACAAAAACTTAACATTTACAAGCTTCATCCTCAATAATGTTGAATCTATATATCAGTTTGAAGAGGTATTTCTCCAGCAAGGTCATGTATTATTCCTGAGAGTGCCCCTTTATTTTAAGTTTAATCCTTTCACCAACAGCTACCTTAATTTGTCTAATAATATAACTTCCACGGATTGGCAAAAGCATACTTATGATTCACATAAAAAAGTTTCTAGTTGTATAATAACTATTTTAAAAGACATTTTCTTATATGATTTTCGTATTATTTGATTAAAAAAGTAAGTATATCTGCTGTTAAGGTACATTTTGATTTTTAACAATCAATCATCTCAACATGTTGAATTTAAAATGATAATGCTGTTTGTTTAATATTATTACTGACTGCCAGAGTTTTTCATTTTGACATAACCATTAATTTAATTTTATTTAGAGAGTTTTATATTAAAATAATATATTTTTTTTAATATTTTAGAAAATAATATTAAATTATCAGTTTATTTTAACTTCTGATCAGTAACTTTATTTTGGCAGTCCCCTCCAGAAGACATAGACACTGCTTTGAAAGTGGCAATTCAAACAGGCTATAGACATATAGACACTGCATATTCTTACCAAAATGAAACTGCTATTGGGGCATCACTGGCAAAAATGTTTGATACTGGAAAAATTAAAAGAGAAGATTTGTTTATTGTTACAAAGGTAGTAGTTAATATTTCTATAAATATTGCTATAACTATGTAATCTCAAATATGTGCATTTAATCTATCTGTGTTACAGCTTCCAATGATTGGAAATAGGGCAGAAGATGTTGAAGTTTTTCTGAGGAAGTCTCTTGAAAACCTAAAGCTTGATTATGTGGATTTATATTTGATCCATATACCAATCGGAATGGTCAATAGAGGTCTTAATGTGATTTTCCCCAAAGATGAACAAGGAAACCTTTTAATAGATCACAGTACCAACATTGTTGAAGTATGGAAAGTAAGTTAAAAATAATACTAACTAATAATAATAGTAATAGCTATATTGATTTAATTTTTATTATATAAAATTCATAGTTTGTTTAACATTTAATTATATTAATGTAATCAGAATAGAACTTTAATGAGATTAAAGATTTAATTTTAAAGTAATTAAATAACAAAAACTATAAATCAATCAAATATTGTAACCAAAAAAAGTAAAAGAAAACACAAGTCTTACAAAAATTTTGGTTTATCGATTAAATTAATTTGTTTTTACTTTCACTAATCTATGAATGAAATGTACAGTAAGTGAAAGTTTTGGGAATGTGAAAAATTTTGATTCCTAGTTCTCAACAGAAATATATGTTTGAAGGTTCCACAAGTCCAAATAACCAATTCTCACAAGATTTTGAACGGTAACTCAGAAACAAAAAGTCATAAGAAACAGAAATTATGTGTTTCAGGTAGGTATACCCCTTATGTTACTGCAACTTTTTCACCAAAATCTATTCATCGAAAATTTTATATTATCAATTTTACACATTTCCACTTTATATTATCAATTTTACAATTTTCTTGCAAACAGCTCAAACCATTTTGATTAAACTTCTTATATTGATATAATTAATAGTTTTTAATCTGTTTAAGTAATATCTAACTGGACTTAAATACCAAATTTTCAAAATTTCTTCCTCTGAAGTTTATTTAATTTTGTTTATTTATATAATTAAAGGACTCTCATTGGTAGTATTAATACAAAAAAGATAAACATTAAATATGAAATTGGATTGATAAGAATTGGATAATTAGCTAAAGGAGAGAAAGTGGGAAAAATATTTTCACAGATTGAAAACAAATTTCCGAAAATATGAGTTGTAATGAATTCAAGAGGAAAGAGGCTTTACACTGAAGCCTTTGCATACAAAAAAAAAAAAAATAGAAAATTAATTTTTTTGATTAGTCTATTTTTTTACCAGTGACATGAATTTAATACTAAACAATTAAAATATGTACTCTTTTTAAATTATAATGCTTGTATTTCAGCTACTAAATGTAAACACTAGAAAAAAAAAACAAATGATCCCTAAAAGTATTATAGTTCCTTTTATTACCGTAATTTAAAAAAAAATAATCAGCCTCCAAATTTAAATCCCGAATCCGCTACTGGTAATGTATATGTATAATATACCAGTGGAAAGTTACAGATTTTTTAAAAATTAATATCTTGGACATAAGGTCATAGAAGATAATGGAGAGTGATGAAGTGTTAATCAATGTCTATCATTATATTACTCAATAGGAAATAAACATTCACATAGAAAATATAAACCACTCATGAAATCCTGTAAGATCAGGAAAAAAAGTATATAAAATCTCAAATCAACTTAAAATAAAAATTGAATAAGAACCTATAAACTGTCAAAAACACAGTCCTTTCAGTTTAAAGTACTGTGTAAAATAGTGGATACACAACTATTGTTCATAAAGGACATTACACAAAGACTCAGACATCCCAAAAATTGCAGACATAACCAAAGAATATTACAATAAGTTTAAAGATAACTTATAGCATGAATGCTAAGATGAAACCACAAAGATCTTCCTAAAATCTATATAGTTTTTCTATCCCTAGTATGGTGTAAACAGAGGCAAAGGGAATTTTTACTGAGATTAGTCACTATCTAAGGTGATAATAATTTCTTCATTACAAAGCTATTTGTAGATTGAGACTTTTTTTTTATTATATAAATTGACTTAATTTTTTGGTCAATAAATAATAATAATTTTTAATCAACTTTCACTGAAACAAGCATTAACATGGTTTCATGTTGTAATATATAAACATGTATATCAAACAATTTTGATGCAAGTAGTAATAATAAAACTGGAATTTAAATAAAAATTAAAGTGCTTATTCTTAAGTCAATATTTTTTTTTTTTTAGGCCATGGAAGCACAAGTTGATGCTGGCAGAACAAAAAATATAGGTTTATCCAATTTCAACCAAAGCCAAATTAAAAGAATTCTTGACAACTGTCGCATTCACCCAACAAACCTTCAGGTGGAAATGCACATCTACCTGCAACAGAAAGACTTAGTATCTTTCTGCAAACAGAATGATATAACTGTGTGTGCCTATTCATCACTTGGCTCTCCTGCCCTTCTGACAGTGATGAAACATAGAGGATTTTCTACTGAGGGGTATATTTTTTTCATCTCTTTCAAATATTTCTTTTATACTTTATCATGATTTTACACTATTTTTAGCATTACACTCACTATTTTTTTTTTAGTGTTTCTGATGGTGAAACTTATTGATATTTCTTTAATTGAGGGTTGATATTTCAGGATTGAAATTTAAATTCAACAAAAAATACGTCTTCCTGAATAATTTTATATTTTTTCCTCTCTTCACAACAGGTATCGGTCTTTGATCAGACCTCCATAAGTTAGCCTGATCAAAGACCAAAACCGGTTGTAAAAGAATTATACAGGAAGAAAACATCTTTTTCATTGGATTTATTGATATTTTTATCACTGTTACTACACCCCAATTTAAGATGACTTATTCATGTGAATATATGTATTAGAAAATATTGAGATATCATTGGAGTTCTTTAAAAAGAGTGGATCCAATGGTTCACTACTCTCCAGGAGAACATGTTAAACTTTCGAATGTGAATTTTCATTTTCGTACTTCACGTAGGAGATCTAGATGAACCATTTTCAAATATAACAATCATTCATTGTTATTTTACAGTTTTTTACACATTTGTACTACTCATGAGTTTAAAAAGTTAAAAATTTGAAAATATATTTTTTTTTTATTTACCTCTATTATAGAACATCAATGATCTTCCAAGATAAATAATTATCTTTTATCGAAATAAAATATTTTTTCTTTGAAGGGTAAGGGTTTTACGTCCTATGGAAGATCCTCTAATTATTGAAATTGCTAAGAGGTACAATAAGCAGCCTTCCCATATTCTCTTAAGGTACCTAATTGAATATGGAGTGGTAGTTATTCCAAAAAGCACGAATCCTTCAAGAATCAAACAAAATTTTGAGGTAAGTATCATTTTGTTACTTATGCCAAATGGGTATTCCTATTTATTAAAAGAATATATATTTTTTTATTAATTACATAATAAATATTGTTTTATTTAAAAGGTATTCGACTTTGAACTGACAAAGGAAGAATTCGAAAGGATAAGTGCTTTAGACCGTGGTGAGGAGGGAAGAATATTTGGTGGGCGTGGAAATAAAGGTATTGTCAATCTAATGGAAAGTCATCCTGAATATCCATTTCCAAAATAATATTAAATTATTAACTAAAATTAAAATTATTACCCAAATAAAATATTTTATTTTTAAATCCTTATCATTTAATTTAATTGATTTACCTTGAAGTACATTTCAAGTGGCTCAGACCTCAATTATATACATTTAATATTCTTTTATATCTCTTCTAATGATTTGAAAATATTGAAAAACAGTTTGAACAGCTTGAAAACAGAAGATATTATAAATATTTCCTGGAATCTTTGACAACACACACTGACCAACCTACAAATGTAGTTGGTCATACATACCTAATGTATTTTGCTTTGAAAATGTTGATTTTATAGAGTTTGGATAATTGAAATTAACAATAGGTGTTTAAATATGTTAACAATCAAAGCAGAAAACAAAGATTATTCTTTTCTTGTTAAAATTTCATAAATAAATTTAAAAAATCAGTCTTCGCATTTTTAGTACTCATTCTACCAAGAGGTAAATAATACAACAATTTGAATATAATTTTATTTGGGTCAAGGATATAATGCAACATTAAATGCATAATACGGAAAAAATAATAGAATTATTAATTTGTCATATAAAGTTTTTATTATAAATTTAAACTATATCACGATATGATAATGAAATTTAATATTTGAGCAATACTCTACACCATTTTAACTATGTAACTATCATATACATATACACTTATTTACAAATATAATAAAATTGCACTTAGATGGTTATATCACAATTACGTATGATTTGTAGAATTTCAAAATAATTCTGGTCCATGATTTTATTCTAATACTTCCTTCAATTTTTCTTTAAGAAATATATGTTATGAAATCTACAAGTTCTTATAAAATTGTGTTTACTAATTACATTTATATTTTAAAATTTTAATTGAACTATAAAACTCAGACTAAATTATTAACTATAATTTTAAAATGAAAAATAACTATAAAATAGATACAAAGTTGTCTAATTGTTCAATATAACATTGCATATTCCCTGTTTTATCTTGCTTACAGACCAAATGTTTTGGTACAAAATTCAAATATAAAAATAATAATTTACAAGTTCAATAATTATAATTCCAAGTTCATCAAAATACAATTAAATATAAATATTTAATTTTTTTTTTAAATTGTTGGCATTGTTAAAAAAGCTGATATCACAAATATATCAGTAGAGTAGTTTAAAATTTTCAAAAAATCATTCCAGTTCATCATTGCACCGAAAATCAAATAAAAACCAGAACATTGATAAAAAAAAGAAATATATATATATATATATATATATATATATATATATATATATATATATATATATATGTAATAAATATTTCACAAATAATAGAAATAATTATACCAAGAATCATTAAGATTTTAAAATTTTAAACCTCATCTGATAATTTGAGATATTGAGTTTTTTTTTTCAATAAACACCAGCCAAATAATATATTATGAAGTAATATTTTATTTTAAATAAACATGTACGTACGCTTCAATGCAATCACAACCACATTATATTTTAATTATACAATAAAAATATATATCTTTATTTTTTATTAAAATATATTATTTTGTATATTTTCCCGTAGTTAATTTTTTTTTTTGTATTGAAATATTAAAAGGCATGAGGAGGAGAACTAAATCTAAATCTTTTTAAAAAATTGTTAGATGAGTTGTAGAGGCAATAATGCATTAAATACATTTTAAGTGTGACTTAGTTCTTTTAATGTATCATAAACCTACTGTCAAAGAAATTAAGTCTCAGTTAACTGAATGCTAGTACAAAGAATCAAGGATGGACCTCTTTTTTTTTTACTCTCAAAGTACAGTACAGAATAATGCTAAGTATTTTTCAATTTAATGAATGTTATTAGTAAAGTTTGTTTAATTCCTTTGATTAAATTAAAAATTTCATAATTGATTTATTTTCTATTATGAATTGACCTCTGTCCTCACTGTCAGTAAAGTGGCAAAGTGTGAAATAGGATTGTGTATAATTTATCAAAACTACTGCTATCTATATATTTATCAAAAGCCTGTAATTGTAAAAATTAAAAATATTCATAAGGTGAAACCAGATTTTCTGATACATTTTTATAGTGTGCTTAATACAAATGTGTAATATTTTAAATAAACTTTCTAGTTTGTAATTCTGAATATTTATTAGGACAATATTGAGCAGAAAACTCCAAAAACATATTTTCCAATAAAATTGTTCTTATAGGTTGTAGCAACAGTATAACTATTAATATCATTGATAAGAAATTAAATAAAACTATTCATTGATATTATAAAGTTTAAGATTGATCAAATAAGAAGCTATGTCATAGTTCAAAATAGAAACATAATTTCTTTCTCTTCAGTATTAATTACAATTTATTTGTTTTAATTTTAATATTTAAATTTTAATATTTAAAATTATACAGTTGGAACTACTTTTTCTTGAAGTTATAAACCAAACAAAGTTGATTCATATATTTCTGGAGATATAATATCTTCATGGATTACTGAGAATCCATATGTTTGATATTTTTTACTTCCTGTAGCCACACTTTCTCACTTTACCAAACTATTGGACAACCATCCTTTTCTATTTTATACTTTTACCTCATGTTACTTTGAATAACAGTGAATTAATGAAAATCTAGAGCATTTCTAAAGAGGCAGAACATTATTTGCAAATAATAATCGTTAAATAAAGGAAAATGCAATGCCTATTGACAAAACTAAAACCAATTCGAAATTTTGTACAATTATTACAACTATCACTTGGTTTGTATTAATAATTATTTACAAATTAACTACCAAAACTAAATGGTTTGGATTTTTTCTTCTAATATTTTAAAATAATATTAAACTAAATTACAACTATTAACAATTTAATAATACTCGAAAACTAGGCTAGGATACAGTCTTGATTCTATCAACACTATAGCATAGCACTACAACCAACAATATAAGACATTGACTACAACAACAGTCAGATCGCAAATATTTTTTAAATTTTCTGAAACGTTTCCTGGTGGTGACGATATATAGACTAGTACTAACATTGGCCTTTACATGACTCGACTATTTAAACTATAATAGGCCTGAGTATGGAATACATCACCACTTAATTTTAAGAGAGCTATGTACACACATTCAAACTCAATGATACTATTTTAAAAAAAAATCATCTTATTTATATACATCACATATGATAAAATATGCATTAAATGATCACATAAAGTTGTTTTTTTACTATTATCTTCCTTATTTCTATTGAGTGAAAATTTGTACATTTAACAAAGTTTAGGGAATATTTACAATTTTTTTTTTCAAATAGTTTTGATCTATATTTTTCAGAAATGTTATTAAATTTGAAAATATCTATTAGGAAATTTCAGGGTCAGGATTGAGGGAAGTCTCTGCAATTTCCGGTTGGTTTTGTAAAAGTGTGTAAGAGTCTCTTATGATTAAAAGACGATGTTGTCCATTTACAAAGAAAGAAGATCCTCTTCTGAGAATTTTTCTCTTTCCACGTTCGATGTTGTCCCTTGTAAAGACGACTTTTCTATAAGCACGGAAGAATATTGATAGTAGCATTAAAGCACCAAATGCAATGATTCCATATGAGCAAACTGGAACTAGCCAAGGTGTCAATGTTGTACAGAGATATATCCATCTAATGAGGTAATCAGGTAACTCTTCTGCACCCTAAAAAAAAAAAATAATTTATTGGATTTTTTGTTATATATATTCATATCAATGTTTATTATTTAGAAAAATGGTAAATAATTAAAGTTATGAAAACTAAGTACAGTTTTATTTAGAATCAGTACATTATATTAACATTAAATATTATAAATCAAATTAGCTATTTTGAAAACTAAACTATATAAAAAAAAGAAAATTGAAAGAGTAACTAAAAAGAAACCTTAATTGCAGGTTTCGGGAAAAATGTAAAGTATGAACTGCATCTCAGAAAAAATTGTATTGACTTATCTGATTTTTTCATGGAGGCAACAGAAATATTTTTTTATATTATTTGGACTTGACAATGGGTTATTTTGCTGGTCACGAACCTTGAGTCCAGCACAAAATTAGTTATCCCATACCCCCCTTCCAGGCCCCTTATGGCTTAGGAAGGCTGAAGTGTTGCTGCAGTATACTCCAAAAGTCTTGAAGATCTCAATTACTATGATAATTTATTTCTTCTTTCACAATAGCTTAGAGATCTGAAGGACAAGTTGAATGCACTAATCAGAATTACCAGCCGAATCGAACAGCCTATCAATGTTGATAAATCAAAAGAAATGATAATGAAAAAGTGTAGACGGAATCCAATTGTTCTGAGGGAAAACATTGTACAGCGGATAGAATCATCCATCTACTTAGGAAGTATGGCCATTAATCCTTTGATTTCGGACATGATACATGCCTTCCCGTTAAGAGTTTGGTCAGTGGTGGGGTCGGGATATATGCCTTCCCATCTGGGCGATCACCACTTAAACAGGTAGGGGCAAGTTCCACATTCACCATTCCACTTGTGGATGGTCGGTGCATTCATTAGTCCACTGAAGTTAACCCAGTGCAGTCGTTCCGGATTCTGACCATTTGGAAATTATCAGTTGCAGATTTATTCTGAACCCAAGGTATGTCCTTTCGCTGTTCCTTTGAGTGTATATATATATGTAGAACTAGATTATCTTGCCTTTTAACTGTTCAACATTAATTTATTAAATCATTTTTATCCACTTCCAATAAAGGTGTATATTACAATATATATATATATATATATATATGTGTGTATATATATATATATATCTGTGTGTATATATATATATATATATATATATATATATATATATATATATATATATATATATATATATATATATATATTGACCTTTATTGGAAGTGGATAAAAATGATTTAATAAATTAATGTTGAACAGTTAAAAGGCAAGATAATCTAGTTTTACTAGTGCAGGGAAAAGAAAATGGCTTCTCTGTAGTTTCCCAAGAAGGAAAATCCCAAATAGGAGAGGGACAAAAGTTTTTGTTTTGGCAAGCAGTTATTGTGTGGCTGCAGTGACGAGAGAAAAGGAGAAGGGATCCTGGCTCCAATGGGTAAAACCCAGTAATAGTATTACCACTTTGGAAGTTGTTGTTTGGAAGAGAGAGACTAGTTGTTTGGAAGTAGAAGCAGAAGTACAAGAGAGAGTATTTCACAGGGAGTTTAAGTTCAATAGAAGAAAGTATCACCATTCTGGAAAATGTGTTTGGCAGAAAATAGGAAAATGTTAGAAGACAAATGAATTTAGTACAACAAAGGAAGAAACAGTGTATTTAGAAACAAAGTTAGCTTGCCAATTCATACTTGACTTTATTTTAAAATCAATGTTTAATTTTAATATAAATAGTGTAAATAATAATAGTTTTTCTGAGTAGATATGATTGTCAGTAACCCACACCTGAGATAAATAAATATATTAATACTCTTATAATTTTGTTTATTATTAAGCAACCTCTTATTTATTTAGGAAGTATCCCAATGGTAAGAAGTGAGCTTCCGAGGTTATTATTATTATTATTTGTAAAATATAAGAGATATGTTACAATATATATATATATATATAAAGTGTTTGAAACTCTAAATAAATGTAAGTGCAATCATAAAATTTATAACTGCAACTATTTACAATACAGAACTTTTTTAGGTAAGAAAACAATTTGTAAATACAAAGAAATATATAATTCAAATCCCGCCATTGGTGTCATTTTTTAGAAATAATATAATTTAATTTTTATGATCACTTACAGTTATTTTTGTAATCATTTTTAGTTATTATGCTCTTCAGAAATGAGCAAGTACGCAAGAAAGTTGGGGTATTACCGCTCTAATTTTGCATCAATATGTGCGGCTGGGAAGGCATATATCCCATTTTTTAAAACTTGAATAAAAATGCATTTTTTAAAGCTGAGATCTTGATCAAAATAGCATTTCAAACAAATTTATGGGAAAAAAAAATCTTTTTTTGTGGACGTCTGTAGATTTCAGAACGCAACATATGGTAGAAACTCGCGAATGAGCTCCCACAGTCAAACGGTTAAAAAAGGAGCTCGTTGGAAGAATTAAGTTCAAAATCTAATCAAAAAAGCTAATGGGAAGTTTTTTCAATTGTATTTAATATGAAACTACAAGACATTGTCCAATAAAACTAAAATAAAGTTGTTTAACACTAGTGTAAAATCAGTCCTGCTGTACAGCAATGAAACATGAACGTTGACTTACACTGTTATCCAGGCCTTTATCAAACTCTGCTTGCGAAGAACCGTGGTAATCTAGTGGCCTGAGAAGATTTCTAATATAGAGCTCTGGAGTATCCTGCAGAGCTTCATTCGATCTCGAAATAAAGAAAAAGAAGTGGAAATGGATAGGACAAACTTTAAGAATACTAGACACTGACATGGTAAAAGAAGCTTCGCAATGATATCCTCAGATAAAGGAAGGCCAAGAGAGACATTGCACAGATCTGTAGAAAATAACCTGAGCCCGTCTGGCAAGAATTGGTCATATATGAAAATGATTGCTGTGAAAAGAGTGGAATGGAATGCACCTGTAGATGACCTATACTCCATCAGGATTCAACAGTGATAATAATAATATAAATGCAGCGACAGATCTATGGGAGGGGAGAGGGGTCTTAGGGGCTGAATCCTCACCCCCAAAATAGTAAAATATAACCATGTTTTATGGAAAAAAATTATCTCTTAAAGTATTATTATTTGTGTAATTACATTTAAAAGGACTTTAGGAATCAGTTAAACTCCATTTCATATAGGTAGTTAGTTTCTTTCTTTTTTTCCAAAGTAATCATCGTTATTTTTATGAAAAAAAAAAGCTTTTGGGTTGAAGCCCCACCCAAAATTAAATCCTGGATCAGGTAGTGTATAAATGTAATGGTCTTCAAAAATATTTTTTTTTTTTATTAAGAAAATAATTATGAAATATCTTATCAGTAAATTCAATCTAGTGGCACATCCCTTCAACCATTATTATACTCATTTTTGTTTTTGTTTTTATTATTTCTATTGGTAAAAGTTTGTACAATTTACTAAGTTCAGGAAATGTTTATAATTATTTTTTCAATAAAAAAAAGAATGAACTTAAAGATAAGGCATTATTTTATCACATAGTATAATATTCAACAACTTTATGATTATGTTCAAATCTTACCTCTTCGACCCACATAATAGGAAAATACATTGATGGAAATTTCTTTGTTGGAGTGAGGTTAGACTGTGTTACTTTTATGTTCAGTTGTATTCTTATCAAGACCTCTAGTGGAACTCCAATTTTCTTTAAAAAATAAATACATTAATTTTTAATGAACATGAATATATACTTAAAAAATATAACATTATTTTTTCAATATAGTTATTTGCATCATAAATCTACTAAATGCATTAATTTCCCAACAATTATTAATATTATTATTACCAAAAGTCACTAAGTATACTTTCGAAGGAGCTAAACTATTAAGTAAAATTTTATAAATTTCAACCTTATTTATTTTAAAAAACATGTAAGTGCAAAAACATAGTAAATGCATAAAAATGACACAAATCATTTTATATATCAAAAAAAGTTACAGTAAATGTACAGTGTTCTAATTGCGCACAGAAAAATTCATATAAGTACATAATAATTAAAATTTGTTAAAATGTTACTGGATGAATTTGTACATTAAATCCTCAGTACATAAGTATTAAAAAATATTAAATTATAAATAGTTTATCAGGCAAAAATAAATTTGAATAGGTAAATGTGAATTGATTATTATCAATAGTGAAGGTATATTGAGAAAACACTCCATAATTGTTTATCAGAAACTACGAAAATAATTGATAGAGATAATGAAAAAAAAAAAAAAACATACAGTGAACATTTTGTTAAATTGAGAGAGTTAATGAATATTTAATATATGTTTTCCCAAAGTCAATTATTTTTATGCTCTATATTGTAGAAAAGAATATGTGATTATGTTACATGTATAAAATTTGAGATTGACACTGATAATAAAATATGAGTAAATATACTAATAATTAATAATCAGTTGCTAAAATAAATTATTATATTCTGTTTGTATTAATGACTGCTTATTTTATGATGAATCATACCAAACCACTAAGGTAAAACATGGAAATTAGAGTAACAACTAGACCACTCAGCAACTGATAACTTTTTTGTAAGATCAACTGTTTTTTAAAATTGATTTCATTCAACTGTTTAAATGTCAATTTGCAATTAGGTTTTTTTTTGTTTTGTTTTTTTCAAATTTTGTGATTTTATTAAGATTGGATTAAATAACTTCTTAATTGAAAGAATTATTCAGAAGATAAGCAGTATAATCGAATCAGATTACATCCATTTATATTTTATTAATCTTATACACAAAAAAAATATGGACAGCCATATTGCAAAAGCCTGTAAGGACAATTTCTATGGAAAATGAGGTTTTGATTTTTCTGTTTAATCCTGTCCTGGCGCATATTCTGATCTCACAAAATGAAATCTACTGTTTCATTTCTTTTCTATGGCCTTTTTTAAAAACCAGAAAATTTTCATGAAAAGCTGTAAGTTACAGTGAAGGTTATAGAGATTGTGTCATTGCTGAAAAAACGTAATGAAATGCTCAATGGAAAGTGGTCATGTACAGAATGTACGAAAGCATTTCGCGCATAGACTACAGTAACATTTAGCTTTATTAATAGGCTAAAATTAATTTTCTCAAACGCTTTGAATTTTTTTTTTTTATGTCTAATAAGTGGCGGGCACTTCCAGTCCGGCGTTTCTGGGCAAATGCTCAGGTTCTCTTGCTTTGAAACCATCACTGCTCACCATGGGACTAGACGAAGCAAAGAAGAGAGTGGTAAGTGGGAATAAAATATTAAACGTCCTTCAAAACAATCGAAATCTCCTGAATACTGCAAAATGAGCTTGACTGGAAAAAAGCTACAATGCCGCTGAACCCCAGATTGGAAAATTTAACAAGAGATGAAAAAAGAACTCTAGTTTCATCTTTTCAAGCCAATGCATGTCGCAAGCAGCTCAGAAATGAAGTGATCTACACTTAGGTTAGTACACACAGTTATAGGTTACCTAGAACTTTCCAAGCATTCTTGAATCAAATGAAGTTGAGAATGTTTAAAACGAATCTTTCATAGACTATTCCAAAATGGGGCATATGCACTCCATTCGAGCCACCCATACAGTGGGAGACAAAATAGTGAATAACCCATGTGATGAAATATTCGCTTTCCAGTCAAATATATTACAAATTTTCATTTGAAGTAACCTTTCTCTACTCTTTGGAAACTGACTTTGTTTCTGTCATGTTTTGTTCATTATTAACAAAGATCTGGGTACTACTGGGTAACTACAATAAATTTGATTGCTTTTACCTAAATAATATTTTTTTTTTCAAAATAACTAAAAAGCTATATGTTAAAAATTATGGCTCAAAAAGATTATTTGGCAGTAATACGATCAAAAACGCTACATGGAGCATTATATCTTTGTCTTAGGCCTGCAAAGAAAATTGAACCGAAAATGTAATGTTCATAGAACAAAAATTACGCAGGTTTTTTGCCTACAGAAAATTTTGAGTTTTTGTTCTTACAGGCTTTGTGGCTGTTGATATACTTTTCATGTGATACAATGAAATGAATCAACTCTAGATAAATTTTTTATACTGAGAATTAATAATTTCCTCACCTGTTGAAGCTTAATGTAGGGTTCATGTTTTTCTTTGATTGGTTTTAAACCTTCCACAACATCAGTTATTTCAGGATTATTTACTCCATAGTAATGAGGAAGAGATGAATAGATGGGAGCATCTATGAATGGAAATAAAAATCATTGTTCACATTATAATCTATTTTAAATATAAACATTTTTTAAAAATCTAAACTAATGTTCTCCCTCTATATTTTAACAACTAAAATTGATTTGATAGAGCAATAAGGATCTACATGAATGCCTAGTTATAGTTGGGGAATTAAATGGGTATTCAACTTGGCATAATATTCTTAAAAACGTTTCATAAAATTAAATAAATAAATTGACACAGTCGTTCAAAAATTCTATTTAATGAAAAAGTAAAAATGCCATGAAGAACTACAAAAAATAAAGATTAGTTTGCATCAAATCCTGCATTTGGTACAAGCTAAAAGTAAAACTGAAACAGCTTCTGACAAATGTACCGGCATGATGTGATGAAACCACTTTGTTATTTCCTAATTTAGAGTTGTAAGTGTAATTAGAATTCAACAAATAAATGTACATGATTAATATAACAAGGCATTGACTTAGGGAGAAAATGTCTCTTGTCAGCATATCAATATTAATATTAGTTATATCATTACTGATTAAAGTTAGCCAGTTGCTAGATAGCTTGTGTAGAAGAAGAGATGAAATATTTATCTATAAATTGTAATAACATTATTTCGTTTTTAATTTTTATAATTCAATTTATTGATTTTCAGTGTTTTTAATTTTTATAATTAAGTAGTATTGTTTTCCAGCAAATGGACAAGCATTCTAGTGATTGCTGTTCTGATTTCTGTTTGATGTAACATGCACAGAATGGTCTCGATAATCCAAATCTCTCATAATTTGAAACCTCTGGTAATCCAAATAAGAAGAAAAAAAATATACCGTTGAGTGACAGAATGGGAAAGGTTCGGTTTTTCAATAGATATTACTGGAATTGCTTTGTGTGGTAGTTTCAAAATTGTGACGTAGTGTTTCTTAATGAAAAACACCAAAATTAGACAGTCATCTAGAAGTTGAAGAATTTCTTTCTATGTGCTTTTCGTAGCAGAGATCATGTTTCCAATTTACAGGGATATATTAGCTGAAAACTCAAAATTGTTCTTTAATAATTTATTTAAGAAGGATGACAAAGCTGATTTTAATATCAGTAAAGGTTGGTTTGATAATTTCAAAAGCAGGTATGAAATATATTTTTTATATTAATTTTTATTTATCTGGAAAATTTCTTTACTCCCATTTTATTTGTCAATATAGACATGTCATAGAAATGCCATAAATGGATACAATGCCGACTATTAATGTGTGGAAGTTTTTGCAATAAGGCATTTTCTTTAGCAAAAAGATCAGAGACACAAGGTACACCATATCATCATTTTCAGAAATAACTTGTTTGTATATAATGTGTTTATATAAAACTAATAATACATGTATTTCCATTACCTTGGGCAATTCCCATCATTTTTAATTTAAACTTTTATAATCTGAACAGGCCATCCAATCTACCTGTTCAAATGATCAAATAATCCTGTACAATAATTTTATATTTTAATAATAATATGAGTCCTACGGAAAATACTGTTGGTTATGAAAAATGATACTTTGTCATTTTCTCACTTTGTTTTTAGATTAAGAACAATTTTATAAAGCATAAAAATAATAATGAACCAAAATCCATGAAAAAACCCAGAATATGAATGAATGAATGAAAACGTGTTTATTATACTTTTAAAAACATTATAGAAAGCAAAATATATATATATACAAGCAACAATACATATACAATGGAAAATTTCATCGGTTGAGGTTTGTGTGTAATTAATAATAATTGAATATGAATAATAAATATTCATTACATTTATAACTAAAATAAATGAGTAATAATATATCTACAGTATTATTATATTTTATTACATCCATTCTAGCAATTTTCTTCTTCACTGTTCCATTTGTTGAAATAGAGTTTTCAAAAACAAACATTAATAAATCACAAATCCAATAAATAAGAAATTTAAATTCAACCATTAATTTAAATAATAACCATCAAATACAATATAACAATGAAACAAACGTTACAATAAATAAACACGATATTGTATCAATAGTTTACTATCTGACTAATTTAGATCTTTGCAATTTGGCCTGTTGTACATAATTACTTAAGGCGTTCCAGTTAGAACCCTTTAAGAAACCTTATAATTCTTCTGGAGAACAGGTCCGCTGCCCAAAACATTTCTCTCTTAACTCGCTGAACATGTGACAAGTACCCAAAAAGTGAATGATATCCTCATTTTCTTGGGAGTTACATACCGAACAGCAATCGTTGTCCCCACCATCCATGGTTTTACGCTTAAATCGAGCAATTCTGTCCTACATCGAAAAATTGACCCTATGGTCACAATATCAAAACTATCATTAAGATATGGTGTAACAGTGCCCACTGAACATAGTCCTGCATAAAAAGAAAAACTTGAATGAAGACATTTTTGAAGGTTATTTTGTTTTTCTAAGTCCTCTACCCGATGTCTAACAACAATCAATTTCCCGCACAGACCAGCATTATTTGCAGTACTTGCAATTTTACAAGTATCCTCGAATTCTAACCAATTTTTGTACCAATGAACTCTCTTAGTTATCACCTCTTTCACTAGGATATGTGGCAAACGAAAACCCGGCATCTCCAGCACTTTCAAAATATAGTCGAAATGAATTTTAAGTGTGTAGGAGTATATTGAGGCGAGACCGGTTTCTTGTGCCACAATATAATATGTTGCATACCTTGGGAGACAGTGTAATTTGTTTACAAAGTATCTTTTAAACTTTTCCAAAACTTCATAGGGCTCGAAACCCCAAACCTGCCAAGCATAACCAATTACTTGAATAGGGGACATTTTTGTTAGCTATGAAATTATGCCAAGTAGAATTTAGGCCAAATTTTGCATGACTTACTCTTTCAGCAAAGTGTCGTCCCATGACCAGCCTTGGGGTCATAATAATACCCAGATATTTATACTCATTTACTACTTCAACAGGGTTTCCTCCGAAGTTCAACTTCTCATATTTGGATAGTCTACCTCCATTGCAAAAAACTATTATTTTTGACTTGGCCGAATTTATATGCAAATTCCACATTCGGCAGTAATTCTCCTAGTGGTTTATCATACGCTGTAATTTAGGGGCTAAAGTACTACATCATCTGCATACAATAAGCATCTAATATTTACTCCTGCGATTTCTAGCCCCTCTTCCAAATTTTTTGTAAATCGTTTATGAACAATGCATGTAGCAAAGGACTAAGCAGACAACCCTGTCTTAAGCCTACTGATGTTTATAAAAAGTCAGTTAATCCTTCTTTATGATATACGGTAGCATTAGTGTTTGTATGTAAGGTTCTTATGATATTCAAAAATTTATGAGACAGCCCATGATTAGCCAACTTAAAAAACAGAGCCTCCCTATCTATACAATCAAACGCCACTTTAAAATCAATGAAAAATGCATACACTTTATGACGTTCTTTTGCCAGAGTCGGTTTGACAATATTAAACAAGCTGAAAATGTGGTCTACGGTTGAGTAGCCCGGACGAAAACCCGCTTGGAAATCATTTAATATGTCATTTGTGTTCACCCAGTTCCATAAACGTCCCAATAAAATTCCAGTCAATAATTTTGTAATTACATTAATAAAAGATATGCCCCTAAAATTTTCAACGTTATGGATATCTCCTTTTTTGAATAACAGGTAAATGATTGATTTAATGAAGCTCTGTGGGATTCTTCCACTATTAAAGTAATGATTGAATATGTTAATGATTTGTTGTAATATGCATTCTGGAGAATTTTTGAAAAATTCATATGGCAGAGAATCGATTCCTGACGCTTTATTATTTTTCGCCTTAGTCAATGCACATTTTAATTCGTCTAAACCTATTTCCCTATCTAGCTCAAAATTTTCCTATTTTGGGGTGCCATAAAATATTTGAGGAGCTTTAATAACAGGATTCAACAATAAATCAAAGTAATGTCTAAACTGCTCTCCTGTAATATTAGATTCACTAATAAAATTTGAAGTCCTGAATTGGTTTATTAGTGACCACAGATCTTTAGTATCTTTAATATATTTAAATTTTTCTTTAAGGGTCTTATTATAATCATTCCGTTCTTTTCTAACTAATTCTTTGTATTCATTATTTACCCTCAAGTATTGGAATTTGTTATAAACATTATTTCATTTTCTAAAAATATTTAGAAATCTAAAAGATTAATTACGGGAATTAATGCATTCACTGTCGAACCACTACTGTTTTCCTAATTTTTTACCATTATTAATTTTTTTTTTTTTATGAAACACAATCTATTGAATACATACATAATACATTCTAATACATTCTAACAATAGTTTCATGTTTAGATCTGATTCATTAATCTCATCTAATTTTATGTAATTTAATTTAATTTGTAATTTTGATTCAAAATACCGTTCATCCTGCCGTGGCCCCTGCAACCTCTTAAGTTGGAGGGCGTTACAATTCCTAACATTATTTGCATGACTGAAGTAAGTCCAAGACCAATTCAATAGGCATATGCTGTGTTTAAATTTTGGAAATAATATAATTTTTTTTTATATATTTCAGAATAGGTGCAGATGCACAACAAATATCAATAATAGAACTACCCCTCCCTGAAATGTATGTGAAATGACCATCGGGATCACCCACCGCACGGCCATTTAATATTATTAAATCTAGATCATCACATATTTTCAAGAACGATAGACCTCTACTATTTAAAGTTGTGTCTTTAGATTTCCTGTTACAGTTGATTAAACATTTTCCCTGTGATATATTTTCCGGGATAATCTACCTCTCCGCCAACCTCACATTCATGTCTCCTATAAGAACTTATTTATCATAAAATAATGAAAGAGAATTAAATAACCTTGAAAAGTCCTCATCCCAAGCACCAAAATTTAAATAAACTGGTACAATATAAAACTTTACACAAATATTATTTACTTCAATTAAATCCCATTCATTCAACCTTATGAATTTGCATGTCATATTGTTTACAGTTAAATTATTTTTAATACCTAACATAAGGCCACCACTTGCCTTGCCTTTCTTATTAGCTTTTTTTGCTCCAATCCACATTAAATTAAAATCACTAAAATATTTTTCAAATTTTAAAGTTTTGGAGTTAACTAAAAATGTCTCATAGAGAGCTATAATATCATACTGTTTGATAAATAGAAAAAAATAATCAAAAATAAGTTTATTAGCCAATCCACCAATATTGAATGAAAGTAATTTCAACTTAATTGGATTTTTTTTTTTTTTATTTCTTTATGACATTTTCAACTGTATTACATAAATACATCAAGTAAATTTGGACATAATTGATATAATGACATGAATACACTTGCTGAGTAACTACCCAATGGTAGCACTCTAATGATATGACTACATTAGGAGATCACGGGGCCATCTTCTTTTCAGACGCCTCGGAGGGTTATCTGGAATTAAAGAGGAAGCAAGGCTAGAAACGAGAGGGTTGGGATGATTCTGAAGTTTATTATGAAAGGATAGGTATCTGGATTGGGCCAGATCTGAAACATAAGGAACATTAAGATCTTTATGGATAATTTTATTAGTGACAAAGTAAGGAGCATTGAGGATTTTACGAAGGATTTTGGATTGTAAGGATTGGATGCGAGAGGAATTCGATGGTTTAGTGGAGCCCCATAGCTCAACTCCGTAAGTCCAAATAGGTCTTATTATAGTCAAGTATATGAGTCTTTTGTAATTAATGGGAAGTTTAGAGCATTTGTCTAGTAAGTGCTGAAGTAATCGGAAACGTCGAGCGGTTTCTTGTCGTTTCAGTCTAGTATGAGGATTCCAAGTTAGTCGTTTGTCCAGGTGGAGTCCTAGGTATCGGATTTGCTCAACAGGGATAAGTGGAGTATTGTTAAAGGAAACTGTAGGACAGGAAGTCATTGGTTTACGACGATAATTGGATTTAAATCATTAATCTCACTTGTTTTGACCTGACAGACAGCTCTATTTCATTTATTTTGGTTCAATATCTTTTCCTTCTTCTGAATTTATTTCCGCCAAAAATTTCTTCATCGCTTCTGATAAGTCGATGCTCGTGATTTCATTAATTTTCTTATACCATTTTCATTACCAAATATGAGGCCTTCTTCTTCTTTCCAAACAAACCTAGGATTATTCACCCACAAGGAATTATTTTGAACCAATATCGATATTTTTGAGTTTTTTTCCTTGAGGCATTTTCTTAAATACAGCATTTTTCTTTTGATTTGCCTTTGTGAGAAAGTAAGGTGTCTTTCATTAGAAATTCCAGTACCTTTTAATACTTTGGATGCCTTTAATATTGTTCTTATTTTGGATTCGTTTGAAAATTCTCCACAAATAATTTTCTTATTTGCATTACAATTACCAATAAATCAAGCTCTATTTATAATAATATTTTCAGGCATACCTAAGGTTTAAGAGCCGTTTAATGCTTTGTGTACAATCCCCAGTAGGGCCAATACGCTATGCCTTTAAAAATAATGTTATTTTTATTTATTTCCCTTTGAATAAATTCCACCTGTCTCGATAGTAATTTATTCGCTTCACGTTGTAAGTTCAATTCTCCTCACAGTATAGCATTTTCTGTTGATAATTGCTCAATCTTATCCGCGAATATTGCCATATCATTTTTTGTAGCCAATATTTCCAACTTCTGGTCCAGAGAGAAAGAAAACAGTATGTATTCAAGTAGTAATTTAATTTTATATTAGGATTCGTTAACAATGTATCAATTCAAGATAAAATTTCTCTTGAAAGAATATCAGTGAGCTTTCTGGATAAGAATATGTCTCGGTTCACTCAACTCTCCTCCTTTGATACATTTTACAATCACATGAATGATGTGTCAAATGTTAAAAAATATAATAATAAAATAATAAAACCACATATTTGACTACTATAATCCTACTTTATATTTTTCTTACATCAATGTTTCAACCCTCTGACCATTATCAAGAGAAGAAACCTTTAACAAATAAAATAATCATCACAGTCTAATCATATATGGTAATTAGTTATTTTCATTTAATACTTTATTTTAAAAACCTATTTTAATTATTAAAAATATAATATTTAATTAAATTTGCTATTATACTAGTTCACGAACAACTTACCAAAATGGCAAGGGCTAATATCTTGTATACCATCTGGTGCACACTCTTGCCTTCCAGGGCAAAAACATTTATTATCTGGATATGTATCTCCAGAAGTGAAGGTGTTGTCATCAAGTGTGTAATAACCCACACTTATTCCATTCTTTGTTGTGTCATAACGATATCTAAACGGCCAAATTCTACATATGTCCTTATCATAAATGTGAACTACATCTTCTTTTGTCATTTCCCTTGGTGGAAAAAATGAGCCTGAAATTTTTTTTTTCGTTTAAATTTGCGTATATGTATATAGTATGTAGTTTAACAAAGGCTTTAATGTATAAGAAAAGTAATTAAGTTTATAAAGAATTACTTACCTTCAGAAGCTCTTATTGAGTTACATGGTTCTGATTCCCAATATGGAAGATTATCTTGTCCATTTAACTTAGAAAGTAAGCCAAAGTCCTTCATATCTGTATGTCCAGTAAATATGGTCTCAACATCATTCATAATACTTGTGTTTCTCTAAAAATTTGAGGAACACCTTATAAATCCAGTTTAGCCAATCTAATATTCATATTATAAATAATGATTGTGTACATTGAACAATATCTTCTTAATAGTTCACATAAGTATAATAAAGGGGTATTTGTCATTGTTCAAACAGATTAAAAAAAATATGATTATTTGATAATAAAAATAATCTCATATAAAATCTTACAAATATAATTTTAGTTTAATAAAAACAAAAAATAAAGAGACTAAGCTAGTGTAGAATGGACTAACAAAATATTTTAGCTAGGAGGAAGTGGTTTGAATAACCTTATTGTTTTAGGTAGCAGAAATCCGTAGCAGAAAAAAACAAATGAAATAACAAATGCCTAAAATTTACTTTTAATGTCCTCACTGAATATATTTTTTAAATTACTTTTGTATTGATTTTTATTATCATTAAATATTTGGATATAATAAAAAATATTACATTTTATAATTGTTTCTATCATTTTAATTATGGTAATAAATCAATACATTACCTTATGGTACTGTTTCCAATTTTGTAGCAGTAAATTAAAAAATAAAATCTTTATTAACAGTTATAAATCTTCAGAAAGTCTAAATTAGTAAAGAAAATGAAGTATATTTTATTATTCTTATAATTATCTTTATCTAATATTATATATAGCTTAGTTTATGTGGCTAACAAATCCATCTGACTTCTAAAAAACTGTAAATTATTAATATATAATATTCAATGATATTGCTTACTTTTAAAATTATGTTTAGGCTCACAGCTACATTTAAAAACTATTTCTACTGATGTGCAATCGAAAACAAAAACCCTATGGAAAATTAATCATTTCTTACCCCAATGAGAAGACCCATCTTAGCAGGTGGCCTTTTTCCTCTAGGGTAAAATCTGTGAGCCAGGTTGATCAGCTGTTCTTCATACCCAAAAAGAAGTTCGTCAGCTGTAACAGTAGTGAATTCATGCCCTTTATACAAAGTTTTCAAGCCCATTGACAGAGCGATGCGCATTATGTGGGGCAGTGATGCACTTTTAGATGTAAGTGTCTGAAAACATAAAATAAATAATATTAATCAAAGAAAGTCTAGAATTATTATTCTTAATATTAAATATCTTAAACATATTTTATGTTCTTGAATTGCAAGTATATGACAAAAGCAAACAATTCAGAAAGAAATAAAAACTATGATTTAAACTATGAAATAAAACCTATGATTTTTTAGACTAGTACAAAAATTGGAATCCTCATTCTATTAATTTATAGAAAACTTATAAATTGCATTAAAACTATTAAGAAATGAAACATATTGCAAATATTAATATATTAACAACTTGGCTTACTACAATGAGGTAAAAACATTCATACATGATGGCATGATGGCCAGCACCCTAGGGAGAGGAAGCGAAGATGGCAACAAGGGTTAGACAGGTGGCTCCCCGTGCCGCAGACGGGAAACGCCTCTTCGGTCGGCTTGAGGCTGATGAGGTAGGCTAGAATCTGGCAATCGCCCATGAGCCTTTCAGGAGGCTCTAAGGAGGCAGCCCCTCCACCTGACAAGGAGAACGAGGGCTGATAACCGTCCCCTCTGAAACCTCTTCATCCCGAGACCTCAACGAGAAATAGCCGGCAGATTATATGGTAACAGACACGGAAACCGTCAAATGGTCTTCAGACTAGGAATGTGCAACATTTTAACTTTATATAGACCAGGTGGGCTTCTAGTCCTCTTTTCAGAACTGGACAAAACTGGCCACTTTTAACTGGTATGGCACGATTTTGTGCTGCCGCTCTCCAGCTTCTGATCCGTAGCAGGCTCCGTGCGTCCGCTGCCACTCCATCAACCCATCGAAGCCGTGGCATACCAGGCCGCCGTGTACCGTGAAGGGCGGTGTCCACTACTTTTCTAGGAATTTCTTCCTCTTTCATCCTTGCGACATGACCAGCCCAACTGAGCCTCTCCAGTTTTATAAACTTTACAACGTCCATGTCTCCGAAAAGGTCATAAAGCTCCTTGTTCCTCGTAATCCTCTATCCACCTCCATCTCTCACTGGGCCAACAATTCGCCATAAGATTTTTCTTTTGAAAATCAAAAGATTATTTTCATCACTGCTTGAGATGGTCCAGGGTTGGGAAGCATAGGTAAGAGCTGGGCTATAAGAGTCTTGTATATAACCAGTTTAGTGCCGATGGTAATGGATCTGCTGTGGAGAGTTTTCAGTAGGGCAAAATATGCCCTATTTGCTGTCACCAGCCTTTTCCTTATCTCAGCAGAGACATCGTTTATTGGTGTCACTAGGGATCCCAAATACATAAACTGTTTACCCTTTGGAATGAGTAAGGGCCAACACTCAGTGCCTCGTCGCCACCAGTCCCTGTGTGCATATATTTCGTTTTATTCTCGTTTATGGCCAATCCCATGGCTGAAGCAGCGTCCATGAGTTTCCTAAAGGCCCTTTACCAATGCCGATCGTGTCCTGGCCATGATATGCCAATATCTGTACACTACGGTTGAATATGGTGTGGTCTGTCTGGATTCCTGTACAGCTTTTTCCAGAGCAAGATTGAAGAGGAGACAGGCCAGTCCATCACCCTGTCTTAATCCTTTGTTGGAGGGAAATGCTTCAGAGCAGTCAGACTGGATCCGTACCTGACACCTTACATCTTTCATTGTTAACTTCACGAGACGTATCAGTTTGCATGGGATACCCATTTCTCCTAACGCCTCATATAGCTTAGGTCGTTTGATGCTGTCATATGTCTCTTAAAGTCGTCAAACAGGTGGTGTGCAGAAATTGTATATTCATGACTCCGTTCCAAAATTGTCATAAGGATGAACACTTGATCAACAGTGGATCTGCCTTTCCAGAAGCCAGCTTGATATTTCCTGATTTCCCGTTCCACAAATGGGGTGAGTCTGCTGAAAAGGATATTCGAGAGGATCTTGTAGGCACAAGACAACAGGGCTATGCCACGGTAGTTCATGCTAGCAAGTTGGTATCCTTTCTTATAGAGAGTACATATTATAGCATTAGTCCACTGTCGGGGCACTCTTTCCTGATCCCAAATTTTCAGGACTATATCGGACATTGCTCTATGCAACTCATCTCCCCTATACTTGAAGAACTCGGCTGGCAATTCATCCGGTCCCAGCGCCTTATTGTTTTTCATGCAAAGGATTGCATCCATTACTTCCTCAAAGTCCGAGGGCTCGATATCTCCAAGATTATTATGCATATCCTCTCCAGCAATGTGGTGTGCCTCTATATCTTCTATAATTGCTACCTCCTTTAATAACAAATGGAAGTGCCCAGCCCACCGATCCAGTATATCCGGCTTATTGGTAAGCAGTGTTCCATCTTCTTTCTTACATGTTTGGATCCTAGGCTTAAAGGTTCCGAGTGGCGGCGGCTCATTGAGAACGTAGATAGATAGATAAGATCTATTTTGGCAGTATTCGAGGTATTAGTGAACTATTCTTTTCCATAATTATTCAATAATGAAAAAATGACTCAGTAAGTACAATGTTCCATTTATGTATGTAATTGAAAGTAAAAAGAAAGCATAATAAATATATTGATGGTTAGTGAAATGCAGAAAAAGAACTTTTGTCTAACTTTGAAATTTAAAAAATAAATAAAAACCGACATACCATGTTGAAATCACTTTATTCTATGTTCCATTTATAGCAACTCATTTGTGTTATTGTTAGTCCTTAGAACCAAACAAGCTCCGTGCATCTTTGATCTTTTCAATCCGTTTCTATATTCAATTTCTATATTCAATAAATATTATATGCACCTTCTTAAAGAACATCCTTTACAAAATCCTTTGTTATTGTGCTATTTCTTGAATTTTTTTTATCCCCTGCTATTCCTAAATCCTCTTCAATGTGTTTTTTTTTTAAAGATCCTTCATATTCCAATCATGACATTAATGTATTTCTGTTACAATTATTATTATAAAATTAAGTTCCATTTTTCAAATATTTAGCCAGACCAATACATTCTGAAGAATACAATTATTTATAGCAACTTTTGCTCTAAAATAGAATTAATTTTTTTATTTCAGACTTTCTATCTATTATAAAAATAAAAAAAATTAAATCTTTTGCTCAAGCTTTGTCTGAATTATTTATTTAAGAAGTTTTATGGACAGTTTCTACATTTCAATTTTTAGAAAAAATTAATGAATAACAAATTTATCCTGATGAATAATTAATGGTTACTTACAAGCAAGGGGATATTTGGTACAATGAGTTTGGAATCTCTTCTAACAGACATATCTGGTACGAATCGTAGAACTTTGTTGTGTTGAAAGCTCACAGTACCGTTTTCATGGAATTTTATATTCACCTTCTCCATGGCTTCCCTAGAAAAGAAAAGAGAAAAAAGTATTATTTAGAGCCTTTCATTTTTCATCCTGAAATAAAAATAAAATATGCTATCAAAATATAACAACTATAAATATTTGTATTCTCTGGAAATCAAAAAAAGTTTGTTTCCTTACAGCCTTTAATTTTATACACTGGGATAAAAATAAAATATTTTATTTTTCCTCCATATTTTCTCACATATCAATATTTAAAAAACAAAACAATGGTGTATACTGTTTTTTTTTTATTTGAATGTTTAGTAGATGCTTTGTTTCCAGCATTTGATATGTTTTTGTATTTTAGATTAAATCATTGACAGAACTTTGTAGAACTTGTTTAATGTTATTACAAAAAAAAATCTCTTAATACTATTTTTTTGTAATAAAAAATATCACTGATTGTCAGCTACATGTTTCTAGAATAATAGTAATGTACAAAATTTGTTGCGTTCATACTCCTCTTTACTTCTTAGATTAACTACTTTCTAGATAATCCTTTTTCTTTCTACACTTGGGCAAATGCAGCATTATTATTTTGTCTTCCATCTTTATTGAAAAGTTATGACATACAATTTCAATTTGATTTTATTAATGATTCATAATATGTTATGTATAATTCCTTTAATTAAGAAAACAATACCAGAAAGGCATTTTCAAGAGGATATCTAGTTTTAAGCACTTATTAAAAATTCTTAATTGGCCTAGTGAACGTAGTTGGTGACATTTCTCCTTAACATAGCAAAACATCAAATAAGCCACTTCAATTGGTCTGATATTTTTTATATTAATACAATATTAGTTAATCAAACAGTAAGTGACAAACATTTCCTATATATCCTTAACCTCTAAAACATTTATTGTTATGATAGGTTTGATGGATTATTGGTTAAAGCTAAGTAATATTAAATTTATGATAGAATATCATTATTTCCCATTTTATCTAATAGTTAAAATGGAAATACGGAATATATGTTATGAATCCTTTAAAATTAGTAAATTACTTTTTGCAAAAATTAAGAAAAAAAATCTAGCTTATTATTTAATAATAGTAGTAGTTATAAAAAAAGAATGAAAAATCCAATTTTCATTTGTTTAAAATAGTGTTTGATTGATCGATTCTATTTGTGCCTCTATCCATAATAACAGTAGGTAAACTAGAATAATTCGCAAAAAAAAAAAAAAAAAAAAAAAAAAAAAAAAAAAAAAAAAAAAAAAAAAAAAAAAAAAAAAAAAAAACAACAAATAAAAATATAATCTTCACCTCCATATGAGTGATACGAAGAGAAATGAATTCGAAATAAAAGCAACAGCCAAGTGAAAAATACAAAACGAAACACAGCCCATAAGACAACAAAGGCATTTAGTTACGCATCTCACAAGAAAATCATATCATGTAGTTGTAAGATAATTGGACAATTAGAGAATGTTAATTTCGTCAGAGGAAAATCCCATCAGATTTAAAGAAAATAAAAAAAATATTCCTGTAATCATTAACTGTATCATCATCAATCCTCCACTATCAAGTTTTAATTGTTGTAATTTGCATGTTAAATGATGTGGTGACTGGTGGAAGCGATAATTGCCTGTCCTTATCGAACAACATACGTCACGGTTTGACACTTCTCGATCGGGTAATTAGTAAAAACATCTTGAGCATTTGATGACTTCTGATAATAAACAGTATCAGGTGATGTCATTAAATTATGTAATTATTTACATCAGTCGCCATCAAGGTGAGATTGGTGTTTCTTATAGCTAACTGAAAATATTCAGGTTAGATTTCCGCACATTCTGCCTGAAATGAACACTTCTTTGTTGTGTTGGATTTAGAAGGTTTAACTCTCGAGATTTCCTTTCATTAGCTTCATAGCTGTTTTTACTTTCTTGATTTTTTAAATAACCTCCAGTGTTATGGAACTGACACTAGTTTAGTAGTGTGCTGTGCACGAGGAAAATTATACGAAATTCTATAAAAAGTACAATATTTTTTTTATTGTGGTAGATATTTTTAAAAATTATCAACTTTTTAATTTCAAAATAATAATCACGCACACCAATTAAAAATAGAGACGTGTACCTTTACCAACCCTTTAAAATAAAAAAAAACTCTCTACATCGTTCTTAGGACATTGCAAGTGAGTTACAGATTGTATAAACTTATCGGCGACTTCATTGGTTGAACTTATGTTACGAAAGTAAAATGTTAAAATAAAATAACAGTAATATTACATAGTAAATTCTATCTTTAGAAATTAGTGAAGAAAAAAATGACGGCATTTTAATATGCTGGCTGGCATTCATAGTATAAGACCAGGGATTTCCGCAATGTTTACATGTCCCATTCTCGCTGGTTAGAACCTCTTGGTTTTCCTGGATGTTCGGTTATGTCATTCAAAACATTTTAGTTATTATCACCTCTTTGCTAATAACGGTACAACAATTAAATATTTTAAAACTTGAAACTTAAATAAAGGATCAACACATATTTTCTCGGAAACATATAAATATAAAAAACCGTTTTATTTACCATCGACTTAAATCATCGTATATTTAATTTTGTTATATATTTTTTGTTTTTGTATTGATAATAAAATAATAATTTCTAGTTCTGAGTTAGTCAAGGCGACTTTGCGAAAATACAGTCATAATTCAGTGTTGTTTACATTTCGGCCACACTATGAAGGTCAACATCAGGGCTGAAATAGATTGGTAAGTTCCTGCACTTGAATAATTTTATAAAATGGCAAACATTTCAGATCATTTGAAATAGTGGAAATTCCTACTAATGTTGATTGGTAAGAAGCAGGCAGGCATGTTATTAAAATCACATTTATGCCTCTACAGTTTTTGTGTTGAAAAGATTATATTTCATACATATCATTTTGTCTGTACTACTGCCGTTTATTGTTTGCTATACGTCAAATATTAATTCGTATAAACCGGGTCTTGAGTAATTTTTATCATATTCTTTTTTTTTATTATTTACTTTTCTTCTACAATTTTAACTTTAAAGAAACTCTTCCTTCTGAAGCGACAAAAAGGATCCATGCATAACAGAGATGGAATTTTCCCTTAAAGTTGTGTTATTTAAGTAGCAAAAATTAATTATAATTAATTCTGGCACAATTCATGGAAGTGTAGATAAAAAAGCATTCAGAGATTAAATTGTCTAACCCATTTTGATTTCACTTCACGTGAAAATGTCTCAATAAAAGAAACTAGTTTTTCAATATTTACTAAATGAATGTTGAGTTCATATGCATGTGAAATGCTCATAAAATAGTTGAATGTTACAATTTTCTGCAGAACAGAAAACTAAATATCAAGTAAATATTCATATATACTGGTACAGGTACTTTGTGGAAGAACAAGTGGGCCTATAGTGGCAATTTTTGCCAACCCCTGACGGCTACCTTTAAAGTTGCCGCCGTGTACTTGCCAGAGTGGGGATGTCACGATCCATTTCCCGAGACCGCCAACAATTTAAAAGTAACCAACCCAGGTGGAAATCGAACCCACAACGTTCAGAACCGAGCACTCTGGGACCCACGTCCCAACGTGCTCTGCCATCCGGTTCCCCAATATTCATATATAAATTTATACAATTTTATTTCTTTTAAATTCGTTGGTTTATTTGGGAAAACGAAACACCTTCCACTTACTTACCTTTCACAATTTCTATGTATTCTCATTATTAACGATTCACTAAATATTATCCTAAACTTTTCACACAGTAGCTTATCGTTTATTTAGTTGTAGAATAGTAGTTTTTAAATATTTTGGACACGGTTTCGTAACTAGTACCTTCAAATTTAGTTTAATTAAAAAGCTCAACAGGTAACGTGTATTCTGATTGTTGATAATTTTAGTGTGTAATAATTATTTTCTTAAAACTGGTACAAAGCCGTTATTTTCATTGCAGGGAACCGAATAAATATTTTAAATTCCAACGCTAGCCTTCACAGATATACGGGGCAGCCAAAAAGGCTCACATAAGTGCAGACTTTTCAATCAAAAACTTTCAGAACGGAATCTGGTACGTTAGTAACTTTTTTTCATAAAGAATTACAGATGACAACAGTAAACTACCTACCACATACGAACATACTACAAAAGATTTCACAATAACGGACATACCAACTCACTCATTCAAGGCAAGGTGACAACCATCATGCCTGATAGCAACCGTAGGAGCCTAAAACTAAGCAGAGTGAGGGATTTCCTCCATTAACTATAAATATATAATCAAGTTAGGAAGAGATACCGCCATACTATTCTTTCCCACATAGGTTATAAGTTATAAGTCACTGGTTGTTGGTTTTACCAACAAGAAATGAGTTGAAAAATAAAGTTCTAACCAAAAAAAAAATTCCAATGCTTCTCTGCCGCCAGTATTTCTAAACCGCTTTAGAAGCGAGAATAGGCTAGAGGAAATGCTCAATGCATAAACGTTTTAAACAAAATAAAAAAAGTTGGCAATCAAAAGATTTAAAAAATAAAAATTATGTTAAATCTTTACTTGAAAATTTGCAAGTGAAAAAAATATAGTTCAGAAATAACCGGATAAAAAATTAACTTAAAAAATTCCATTAAAATAACTGAAACTAATTAAAAACAAATTTTAAAATTTCATTTCCTGTTCCATATCACATGTTCATGATTTTTATAAAGAATTAATTTCTACCTTTTCGATCTAGGTTGGATTGTTTGTTAACTTGTAGGAATTCGGATTCATTTGTAGGAATTACTTGTTGACTCGTAAGATTAAACCATTCACCCGTCGTATCCTAATTTAACTACATGAGGACGTTGAACCCAAACAGACAAACAATTAGCAATATACCAATTAGATGATAATTTTCTTTTATTTATCTCATCTGGAATGAAGGAGACCTACTAGTCCCGCCTGGAAGGTTGACCCCATCGACAATTTCGCAAGATATCCTTAGAAGCAGGTGGCGTTGGCTAAAGATGGGCGGATAGAAGTTGCTCGGAGATACATTCCTCCCGCAGGAGCTGACCATACCCTCTGCGCGGACCTTGCTCGACCAGCTCGGGGTTTCGTCATCTTGTGCAACTCGATTCGCTCTCAGCTTTCTCCTAATTGTTGTGTCGGTGTGGGAATGATGTATCGAGATTCTAACTACACGATTGCTAGTAATCGATTCTATATGAGCTACATTCGAAGCAGAAGCAACACATGATTATTACAAATGAAAAGTGCATTGTATGTGGCGTACTGAAGAACAACGTTCTCATTGAGCTAACTACAACAAGCAATAAGCAGTTGTTTGAGATACGGTTGGTTAACTCATAACCTTAACGTGATTCTACATCAAAATTATAAATCACTGTCATATAAAACTTCAGTTGATGTTAATAAATGTATGCATTCTTTCATTTCATAAATTTGGGTGTCCGAAAATAAATTAAAAAATTCTAGTCTATTTGTCCGATACCCAATTTCCGAAAAAGTTTTTTGAATACAGCATAATTCTCAGGCTAATAAAACAAATATTGTGTTAAAATATTTAGCATATAGCACTAGAGATGCAATTCTTGATACAATCGTAGGTTTATTTTCTATCAACAAAATTACTATACTGGAAACAATACCTTAATAATTCACTTTATAAATGTTTTGGATTCCCTTTTGGATATTTCTTGTAAACACCACAATAAGTTTCAGTTTCAGCTTCCTGCTCACGTCCTTGTTAGAAGTAATTATATATGTTTTTATTTGAAATTCCAAAAGTATGGGAATCATTTTCATCAAAGTTGAAATCTTTGATCAACTATTAAACACAAAAGATAGAACAGTTTTTAATATTACTATTGTAATACAATATTATTTTTAATTTGTCTTGCTTTTAAGCAGGCAAAATTTTTAGGAGAAGGGTTATCTTTAAATACCGATCCATTTATCTGTTGAATTAAAAAAAAGAATTTCTTAAACTGAATCCCTCACTATTCGCGAAAATTGTCGAAAGTTAAGCCTATTATCAAAATATTTATGATTTTATCTTTTTAAAACAACATATTTGTACAAAATGAGAATTTTATGTCTGAAATATTCCTAATTATAATTTTACTTATTAAATTATAAATTTAACAATAGTTGATTATCAAAATATTTTGGTTTTTGATCCTTTCCTACATAATACCTATCATAATGAACATATATAAATTAGGATACATTTTTATTTAATTTTTTTTTGTTGGATGTATAGTAAGGATTTATTTTGAAATTAGAAACTCAAAACTAATCGAAAAGTGAATAAACTATATATCGATTAATATTTATTGTTTAGAGTGTTAATTTATTCCTAAAAGCAAGAATCATTTAAAATTGTGTCTAGACTGCTACATTAGGCAGATTATCTGTAAGTTCAGAGAAGATAAATATAAGAAATAATATTTAGTATAAAAAAACTTCAAATAGAATCACTTGATTTCTTATTTTTACGGCTGATTAAAAAATATATCTATATTTACTTCCGCAAATTTGTTGGTTTTTAAATTCTCCATGGTATTTAAATTTTGAAATATTTTCGTCCAAATGTTCAAAACAGTCGTTATTATTTGTTATTTGGAGCTATATTTTCTCCTTTTTCGATTCCCTGCGACCCCTGACTAGGCGTCATGTAAAAATGCAATTTTAAATTATAGATCTTTACGAAGATGACGAAATGCTGAAAAAATTACATTATGCAGGTCTACATTTTAGTTTTTGAGATATTTTAGTTAAAATATTCAAAACAATCATTATTATTTGATTTTCGTCACTATCTTTTCCCGTTTTTGCTTCTCTAACATGGCGTCGCATTAAGATACAATTTTGAATAATAGCTCTTTATACAGAGAATGAAATGCTGAATATTTTCCTCGATTATAGAATGAAGATTTGATTTTTAGTTTCTGAGATATTTTAATCAAAATGCAAAAACATTTCAATTAGGAGATTACCCGAATGAGCGTTACATATTCGAGCGTGACGACACAATCATTAACCACAAAAAAAGTACAAAACGCTAAAAAAAGTTTTCACTTCATAAAAAACAGATAGCAATAAATACCGATTATCTTAATTTAATTAAATAGATTTTAATAGTTTGCTCTATAATTTCTGTCACTTAGCGACTGTTGCATTTTCTCATAGCGATTACATCATTCTCGAAGTAATAATTAAGCTAGAATAATAATTATTTTCTTTATATTACAGCTTTTATATATAAACGAAATGGCTTTTATGTTTCTTAACACCTAATACAATCTTAAATAACATTCTGTTTATGATAATCCTTATTACTGTACTTTATGATAATAAAGCCATAGAGTGCCACTCTGGGAAGCTCATAAAGATGATAGCGCCTGATGCAATGTCTTCGTGTGGTGCCGGTAATGTATCGTTCCGCCCCGTCCTCGGGGAACAACAGACAATAGATGTGCATCTTATTTTAAATTTATTCTTAAATGAAATGTTATTCCTATTCCATCCATTCAGATAGGGAAGCCCTTACTTCTGAGATCCGGGGAATCTTGTGGTTCTTATATAATTATTTTTAACTGAGAACACTATTTGTGCAATATCGTGCCTATAACGTGGTATGGAAAAATAATTATTTTATTTTTCTAATATAATAAACACCAACATATAGGACAAATATTTTCAATATTAGTGTTAAAAAACAAACATCTTAAGTGCAAGATAAAAGTTTTCGCTGCTTGATATTGTGTCATATTTTTGGCACTTTACTGAAATGTATAATATTTTGTTTAAATCAATTGAGGATAGAAAACATATTTTAAAAAAATAATAAATCTATTACAGGTGTTATGATATTAATGATCAATCAATACCTATGATAAATAATTTCTGAACCATAAAATTTGCTTAGATATGACCTTTTTTATTTCCTAAGATTCATAATAAAATATGCTAGCATAAAATATATTCAAATCGTTTTTTATACAATTCAGTCTTGCCAAAGTTAATAATATCAATTATATCAAAATTCAATCAGTCTATTTTATTATTTTTGTCATTATAGACCTTGTTGATACATTTTTTTCCGCCTTAATAAGCCCTCTCCATCTCTGCCGATCATGATTTATTTATTTCCTGCTACCTTCATGCAGCTATATTTAATCTTTATTGATTCGATCTATCCATCTTGGCCTTTCAGGTAGTGTTTTGCCTAATATTCAGGCATTCATTATTTAAATCTTAATCTCCTTGCCTCCATATCATGAGACATTGACTGACTAGTTCCTGTCAACCAATAAGCAGCTCTTTATTGGCCTTTCTCCTCCATGTGTCAGTGCTCTTTTCCCAAATAATTCAACTTGTCGTGCGGAAGATTTTTCTCTTAAATATTTCAAACATTCCTGGATATTACTTTATATTAGTTTAATATAAATACATTAATTACATTATGAAACAATTATAAGTGTAATGTGCACCTATATAAGTAAGATAATATTCATAAAAGGAAAAAGAAAGAAAATAACCACTTCAAAGGGGCAAAAACATCTTTTTGGCTCTAAATAAATTTTATGTTAAAAACGTTGATGTACTTCTATCAGTTATCCTAATACAATTCAACATTCATACATGAAAAGTAGAAACCATTATTTTTAGTAATTAATTCCAATTATACAAATAACAACAAGCCGATTAGCGATTCGAAATTCATCGATCATTGGTGAAAGTAAAAAGTTTTATGTTAGAAATATAAGTAGAATAGGCTACTTGTCGATTTAGATATGTTTTAGAACGCCTAATAAAATATCGCTCTGGGCGCCTATCTTCCATGTGACAGCAGTGCATGTCGAGGTAGATCATCATTATGTTCTATTTATAATATCCACCAAAACTTAATAAATTTTAACTTCATAAAGTATATTAATCGTGGTCGTGATAACCAAGAAAGTTAAAGCTTAACCTTAGCTTCATCGTCTTCTCGCAGGTGGGACGAAATGTATTCGTGATAGTATTACTACATTTCTTTCCGTAATGTTTTTCTAACCTTCGAAAGTGTATTAATTTGTATCTATTTTATTTAGTTATTAAATAATTTTATAGTTATCATTTATCCATTATTTACTATTGTTTTAATGAAAAACATTTAAATATTTCAAGTAACTAAAACTAAATGTAGCTTAGAGGTAGCCATTTTTAAGGAAATCGGTATTTAAGTCCTGCCGGCATAGACCAATGAGGATGAGAGCTAGCTGATATTAAAGGCAGAATATTTGTAACTTGATATAACGAGTTTGATACAAATTTTGGAGTCGTTCCAAGGAAGGTTTTCTAAAAAAATGTAAAATCGTCAGTAAAAAATGGCTCTTCCGGTAACCCGATGGGGGTGGAAAAGTTACCAAAACATTTCTGGTACATAACTATCTTAAATACATAATTTTGAAGAAGCTTCGTTTATGAGCAGGGCTGACCATATTGAACTCGACACATACAAACTCACATAGATCATTTTTGAGGCTCGATTATGTGGAAACAGAGATCCTTATAACGGATATTTTTTTAAATGTCGACTTCGGAATTTTTCACGATCACAATACTTTTTCTAGGTATGTAAATATAATAATATTAAATCAGATGATTTTGGTGATATCTATAAATAATCTACGATTCAAGTGACGAGGTTTTTGTGTAAATAATTTCTTAATTTTATATAAGCTTATACAAAACCATCATACCATGATAATAAAATATGCTGAAAAGAAATTATTTATGACTATACCCTTTATATTTTGCTACACAGGTCCCGTGATTGAAAACATTCAGGTAAATATATATACGGTAGTTAATGAGATCACATCTCACACCGAAATATCTACATAGTTTATAGCGCCTAAAAGAGAGAAAAAAATTGTAATTAATCATTATTTGTTAGGTTTATTGTTACAGCATAAAATATGTGTTCGAGTCGCGGAATCGAAACTAGTTTTGCAAGTTTAGAAACTAGATACTGTAACGTATACACACAAAATTAAGCGATTACAAAGACGTTGAACATTAATTGATTCCTCCCACACCACCGCTTGGAA